GAAAAGGAGCGTTAACCTCAGCCTAGACAATCAAAGGCAGAGCCTCTATGTTACGACTGTTTGCACAATGGGCAGACAAACGCTGACATGTGTCAAAACGAAAGGCGCACAATTTATCAAAAGAAACAATAAAACAAACCAAAATGTAAAAAGTAACAAAAACATGGCAAAAGAGAGAGAGAGATAGAGAGAGGGAGGGTCGCAGCCCGTAGCCCGATAGCTAAATACCCTGTCAGAGGTATGCGATGTAATACATAATAGATATATCATTTGAAATGTGAATTTTTGCGAGCGCATCATCAATCTCTATTCCATTGAGTGGAAACTGGAGCACTGTAAGCAAACACAGTTGATATGCCCGATATCAATGCCAAAGCTGAGAATCAACAATGGAGCATTGGACAATTGTTTAAAGCGAGACATGAAAAGTAAAGTTGACAGACAAAACTAAAACCAAAACCAAATCCGAGTCCAAGTCCGAGTTCGAGTCAAGGCAGGACAAGGCAACACCAACAATGGTCAGGAACAATAAAGAATGAGAAAGAGAGAGAGACAGAGAGAGGAAGAGCGATAGGGAGTGAGAGAGATGGCCAAGGGCTAGATATTCCCAAATTCACACGAGACAGATTCTTATATGTAGTGAAGGATATCAAATGAAAAATTGACGCCCACTCGGCCCCTCCCCACTCTCAGTTGGATTTGCGGCTTTGCGGGGAGGCTGTTGGATCCCAGCACTTGGCTCCATTTATCACGCCCAAAAGTGAGGCACTGCAAGTTTCCGACTCAGTTGAGAAGAATACCCCCCAAAAGAATACCCTCTGACTGCCTGTCAGAGCTCGCTCGGTCCGGCGATTATTATGCTTTATGTGTGCGATAATCTAGTGCATTTCTACATGAGCATAGCATGACAATGGCAGGGGCTACCCTTACTTTTTTTCAACTTTTTTCCAACGGTTGTCAGCTACATGTGAAAACACGAATTTAATCGAATTATGGGTTAGCATTATAACAAATTTGAAAGCAGGAAATCTAAAATTTTATTAAAATTTCGTAAAGTTCTAAAGGTAATTTATTTTTAATTATATTTAGAGCAGAGTTTATTATTAAATGATTTTCTAAAAATAATATAAAATCATAAAAAATCATATATAAATATATAAATTATTTTAAAATATTTATAAAAATAATATACATTGTATGTAAAACTTATAGTTTTTTTGTAGAGTTATCTTAAAGATATTAAAAAAAAAAAAAAAAATTTTCGGAGAATATTTTGTTCCAAAAACTGTAGTAAAATAAAATAAAACATGATTTACATATACAAAAAAAATAAAAATATATATATATATATATTTATTTATTTTTACCGATTTTTATAGTAAGATGTATAACGTATTTATATTTTTAGGAATTCTTTTTTTTTTAGAAAAATTACTATTTAAAATTAATATTTTTAAAGAATTTGTTTTTAAGATAAATTACTTTATAAAATCAAAATTTGGTTGGGCTTTGCTTGCGCTGTATTTTCTCGCTACTTTCAGTTCTTAATTAAAAAACATATATTAATTAATAAATTACCACATAATTTAACTTAGTGTATTTAAGTTTCGTTCTCGACTCGTATTTCATTTCCTTTTTAGATTTATGTTAAATTGCGCAACAAATGAGAAATTTTCTTGTTTAGATTATTGCAATTTTTTGTAAGATGTTTTTTTCCCCCAGCTTGTGTGTGCATTATTTGCTGTGGCTCTTATTATTGTTTTGTTGTTTCTGCTCATTTCTGGTTTGGTTTGTGCCCTCAGCCTCAGCCTCTGTCTTGTTTATGTTTCATTAAGTTTTTTTTTCTCTGTTTTTTTGTCACTGCAAAAGTGTTGTTGCAGCTGCATTTGTGCCGCGCTGACTGATAAAACTGCTCACAGTGTTGACTTTGCCGCACGCCCCATCTGTGGTGACACGCCCACTTTTGCGACCCGCTTGGCTTTTGTTGTTTGCTACAGTTACAAATTAACAACAACAAAAATAATAATAATAATAATAGCAGCAGCAGAGGCAGCAGGAAACGGCAAAAAAGTTGACACATGTGTGTGTGCGTGTGTGTGTGTGTGTGTGTGCGTACATATGTGGTTGGCTGTTTGACTTTGGCTTTTCTAGCTTTTTGCCTGACCAAATGCAACAAAGTAAAATGCAATTACGCTCGTATCTATGGCACTTCCAATTGTTCCTCTCTTCTTGCACAGCACACATACATGTACATATGTGTGTGTGTATGTGTGTTTATTCAAGTCATGTTGTGTAATTTTATATTGAGGTCAGTGCTACTGACTGTAATTTATAAAAGTTCGCATTTTGTTTGACCCGCACACAGCGCAAAAAGACCAAAAGCAACACAGAAAAAAACCAACAAAAACAACAAACTTTCGGTTGCTCCTTTTGTGTGGGTCAGGGAAATTGGTCGAATTGCATGCGATTTCCCATATGCAAATGGAAAATGGAGAAATGGCAAAATGGCAAATGGGCCATCAAATATATCTCTTTAAATCAAGTTTTTCCCTTTTGTTTTATTTCCATTCGTATTTTAATCAAAAACCACTTTTCCCCCCTTCTCTTTTATTCATTTAGCTCGCAAAAAGCTTTTGCTAGTCACATTTATTTGCCGGCTTTGTATTCTAATTTTTCGGCCATCTATTATTCAAACTTTGCTAAAGTGTTAAATGTGTTCAATTAGAAAATGCATGTGTGCGAAATGAAAAG